GGCCAATTGGAGTCATCTTGGGGCGGTCTTGGGGCCTTTTGGAGCATCCTCGGGGCCATCTTGAGGCGTCTTTGGCTGTCTTGAGCCATCTTGGAGGTCATCTTGGGCTCTCCGAGGCCCCCTTGGAGCCATCTTGGGCCATCTTGGACGCTCCCAACTACCAGCGACCCCCCCCCGTCCAGGTCCAGGGGAGGGGGTTAGGGGGAGGGGCAAACCCCTCCCCGAAGGGGAAGAAGGGGAGATGGAAGAGGAAACTCCCTGAACCACCTACGCCCAGAGGGCTGGTGGGATTTATGACCATGTGGCAGGAACCCGAGGTGATTTCGGTCGGCCCAAACCGTTTTGCTTAAGACAGCCTCGCAATATATGATCACGTAAGAGTCCTATCAACCGCCGTTTTCGCAATGTATTGTATGCCTACGGAAGAATTCCAACGGCCGTTCCGCTTCAAACTTCCCCACAAGTTATGGCCACAGAGGGGTGCCAACGGCCTTGTCGCTTGATTGCGCTCGCCTCAGGCTTGCGCCCCTGGTTCAAACGAATTCAGCAGGTCTGGACCCCTCGCATGCATGTTCATCGGGGTTCAATGTTTCACGCAACGCCGAGCTAAGTGCGAATAAGTACGGGTAAAGTGCAAGATAAGTACGGGTTAAGTGCAGATAAGTACGGCTAAGTTTTTGCATGTTCAAACAAGTTTATGCATGTCCGCGCAAGTAGTTTCGTATGTACTGCCAAGTGGTTTCAAACTACATGCCACGCTACTTGCAATGCACTTACATCACGCGCATGTCGATGCAAGCTATTTTCTAGTATAAGCGGGATGCTATCTACTTGCGTGTAGTTAGCCGAGATGTAAGTCGGCTTAACCACGATGCAAGTCAACTTAACCGCGATGCAAGTAGAGTTGCAAATGGCTAAGTCCCGAAGTCCCCGAAGTGGGGCCCCTTCACATTAGCCTGTAGGAGCACATGCCCGACCGGACCTTGGGCGGCGCCTCCAGCGCCCTTTTCTGGTCCTCGTGGGAGGCCCTCGCCGCCACGGTCGGATTCGCCTCGGAGTGCTGCTCGGGACGCACCTTCGGGGCGGTCCGGCGAGTAGCGGTCTCGGGACCTTTTTGCGGTTCCCCAGAATCAGGGGCAGTGATGGGGGGATATAGGCTCAGAGGGGGGCGCACCGACTCCCAATCGTCGTCGGGGGTCTGATGGCCCCACCCCGTCGGGGGCCGATCGCCGATGTGACGGCGAGGTATCGCTGTTTCCAGGACGATGTTCCCCCCCGGTGCCAGTCCCAGTCCCCCCCCTTGTCGTCTCCCCGTTAAGCACAAAAAACAGATCCGTAACCACAGCCTCGCGGGCCAGGCCCCTGGGCCGCGACCCCGCGGATACGGGGCGTTTTTTCGCGGATGCCCCGCGCGGAACGTATCCGCGGGATCGCGCCCTGGAATCCAGACCGCGAGGGCGCGGATACGGATACGTCCGCCTCTCGTGACTCATGGGGGATCGGCGCACGAGGTTCTCAGGGGTATTTTTAGAAGGGGATAGGCTGGTCTGCTTCGTCGCCCTGGTCTCGAAGGAGGTCGAGGCTCGAGTTTGCAAGGTTTTCGGGTTCGAGGTTTGGGATTTTCGGGCGTTTTCGTATGATTTTGTCGGCTTTCCACCCCCCAAATGCCTTCCAGCGGTTGCATCTCGCCGAGGGATGTCACGTCCGGGGCTGTTTGGAGACCATCTTGGCCGTTACGAGGCTGAGAAGAGCGCCGGAGGAACAACGGGTCGAGAGGGCGATGTTCGGAGCACGCGCGCGCCGGGGTGGGTGGGTCGGCCCTAGAAAACACTGAGGCACCTCCAAGAGAACAGCAAGCATCCTCCGAGCATGTTCTTTGGGCGGAGGGCAGAGGACGACTCGCTCAAAACATCGCCACCCGTCAGCTTCCCTCCCCCCCTCTCTCCCGCCCGTTCCTTCGCCGCCTCCCGCTCCCCCGCTTCTGCCTCCACGCCCTGTCGTTGCCTCCGCCTTCTCCTGCACCTCCTCCTCCTCCAAGGTTTCTGTTCCTTTTCTCTGCCTCCCTCTCACCCCCCTGTCCTCCTCCATTACCAGCCTCGAACGTATCCCTATCCCTAAGATTGACACGCTAAACGGAGATGACAATCTTAGGGATACACCCTCAGAAACTGAGGGAATCCCTAAGATTGGCATCGTGATGAGGCGATGCCCAGCATAGGGATAGGGATCTGTTCCAGGCTGGTAACTCCACCCCCCATCATTATCATCAGCCGCCCGCCCGCGCTAATCGCTAGTGACAGCGGGGGGGTCACGTATCACTGTCCCGGAGTCCATGTGCACTCGGCCCTCGACCGAGCCCACGCCGTCTCGGGCTCCTTCACTAGAGCCGCCCTCTCTCAATTCAGGCCCCTGTCCCACATGTCGCCAAGCTGGAGCACGGTGGCTCCGCAAACGTGCGCATACTTTCCTCCAAAGCCCGCTCGGGGCTCCAATCGGGGCCACCCCTGCCACCCCGCGGTGGGCCCCCGAATCCCGACCCCCGCCGTTTTTCCGATTCGTTTCCTACCAAACGGCTGGAGGGGGTTTCAGACAGGCACAACGAGTTCTAGAACGCAGAACGAAATTCTAGATCCGCAAAGCGAATTCTAGAACAGCTGAGGTAGTTTTAGAACGCAAAGCGAAACTCTAGACTTTCATCGTGTAATGAGCAAGCAGAAACAAATCATATTACGGTTACAACAGTTCCAGAACGACGACGTGAGTGCTAGAACGCAGAGAGAAAAAAAGGCCTTCGAATTCTGGATTGACTTGCCGCGCGCCAGCCGCGTGCCCGTTCACCTGCCCGGCTCCAGTCGCGTGCTCGGGGGCCCAGAGAGTCAGCCAGCCACCCAGGCAGCCATCCATCCCACCATCCTCAAGCAGTGGCGAGGCGTCCTGGCTCGCCTATAGCCCGACCAAACAATGTTCTAAGAACCTTTTGTGGTTTCCACGGAAGGGTCTAAGAACAGTTCTGGCGGAGTCTGTCTTGGTTTAGCACATCGGGTTTATGTTCTAAGAACATTGCTTTGTTCTTAGAACATGTTTGGGGTTCTAAGAACAATTCGTGGTATGACTACAGGAATACCAGGACGGTCGGTCCCTGCTCAACATCAGTCCATCCGCCGGCCAGACAACCAGCGGGCCAACCGACGAACCGCCCGGCCAATCAGGGGCGGGGCGCAGGCAGCTGAGGGAAACACATGTTTCTCACCGAGCGCGTTCCACGACCTCGCAAAGTGCCTACTCGCAAACGCGTCGATGTAATTTATCGTGGATCCCCCGCGGCGGATCCAGGCCATTCGCGAGTAGTTACTTTGCGAGTAGAGGGACGCGCTCGTCTAGTTTCACTATTTCAAAAGAGTTCGCGCCCGCCTGCAATTCGCAGATACGCTTAGCGTGGATCCGTCGAGGAGCGAACAGTCCGCGGCTGACATCGGCGGGGCGACAAAGCCTTGCTTGAAGGATGCCGGGTGCGAGCCATCAGCGGTGCCCGACCACGTGCGGGTGCAATCGTAACGTCGTAGCGAAGCCAGGCGCTGCAAACACAGAGGCCGCTACACAACGCAAGTTTCACCCTGAAAGCCCACACACACACACACACTCACTCACTCACTCACTCACTCACACACACACACACACGCACACGCACACGCGCACACGCACACGCACACGCACACGCACACGCACACGCACACACACACAACCGATTGATTTGCGAGGTGCAAAAGCCCAAGTGGATTTCACCCTCAGCCCTCCACCCTCAGAAACTGCTCATGTTCTAAGACGCCCACTACATGCAAGCACGGTGGTGGAGAATCCGCCCTGGTTTGTGACTGGGAGGAGGAGGAGGAGGAGGAGGAGGAGGAGGAGGAGGAGGAGGAGGAGGAGGAGGAGGAGGAGGAGGAGAGAGGGGAGAGGAGGAGGAGGCGGAGGAGGCGGAGGAGGAGGAGGAGGAGGAAGAGGAGGAGGAGGAGGAGGAGGAGGAGGAGGAGGAGGAAAAGGAGGAGGAGGAGGAGGAGAAGGTGGAGGAGGAGGAGGAGGACGAGCACCACTTACATTGCATCTTCGGGTGGCCCTGCCTGTCCTGTAAGATGCTCTCTCTTGTTGTCTGACGCGGGCTCTGCACGGACTCGACACATATTCGGCATTTGTTCGACGTGGATTGGTCTCGGACTCGACTTTCGACAAGGATTCGGCGCGGTACTGGACATGCAAAGTCCCCCGAGAGGCGTTTGGGAGGCTTCGGGGCCCCCCAAAGAGGTAACACACCACCACGAGGAGTTCGAGGCGGAGGGGGAGGGTCGGAGGGCACCCGGAACGGAGCGCGAGGAGGGCAGTCGAGCTGTTGGAGACGGGCGTCGGTGCAAGCGGGGGTGAGCCAGAGCGCCGGATCTTGCAGGGTCCTGAAGAGCCAGGGGTGCATCGACCTGGGCTTGCGCGCAGGATCCTGCAGGGTCCTGCCTGGCCTGGGTCTGCATCGACTCGGGCCAGTGCGTCCCCGGCGTCGGAGGCCTCCCAGAGGTCGCCGGAGGCCTCCGGCCAGAAGCGGCAGACCGACAGAGTGGCGCTCCCGGGCACGGGTGCTCGACCCTGGTTGGGTCCAGGGCCTCGGCGAAGAGGCACGGGAACCGAAACTTCCAGAACTCCGCGCTGATTTCTTGGATCGGTGACTGAGAGGAGGAGGAGGAGGAGGAGGAGGAGGAGGAGGAGGAGGAGGAGGAGGAGGAGGGGGAGGAGGAGGAAAAGGGAGGAGCAGGAGGAGCAGGGGAGGAGGAGGAGGAGGAGGAGGAGGAGGAGGAGGAGGAGGAGTAGGAGCAGGGGGAGGAGGAGGAGGAGGACAGGAGGAGGAGGAGGAGGAGGAGGAGGAGGAGGAGGACCAGGAGGAGGAGGAGGAGCAGGAGGAGGAGGAGGAGGATGAGGAGGACCAGGAGGAGGAGGAGGACCAGGAGGAGGAGGAGGAGGACCTTCGCAGCGCCTGCGCCCTGCAGGCGCCCGCGGCCAGGCGGGTGGTGCGGAGGTCTCACGAGGAGCTCCGCCCTGGCCCGCCCGGCGGGCGCGGGGCTCCGCGGCTTGCGGGGTCTCTCGAGCCTTCTACGTTTAAGCCGGGCACGTCCCTCTACCGGAGGAATGTTCAAACATAGTAAACATAGTATTGGGACTTTCGAAAGTAGGCACGGCCCGTAGGAGGCGCTAGGGGTAAGTGGAGGGATAATCATTATATCGTATTCCTCTCTGTAGCCGTTTGGGATCCAGTCTGGAGGACCGGTAACAGCCACACACAGTTTCCAAGCCTGTGGGAGCCACAGTGCACAGGCGATTCCGCGAAGCCCACGAGAGAAGAGGAATATTCAAACATCGTAGAAATAGTATGGGAGCGACTGCTTGACCACTTGTGTTTCAGCATTTGTTTTGAATGTTTGTTGGGGGTATGTTTGATTATGGTTCGACTACTTCTGGCTATTGCTTAAGGCGGGCACGCCCCTCTACAGGAGGAATATTCACAAGTAGTTAAACAATAGTCAGGGGACGATTGTGTTCCCAACCCTCCTTTGTTGGGTATTCGTTTTGAATAGGGCACTGCGGTCTCATTTCCTCCTCCTCCTCCTCCTCCTCCTCCTCCTCCCGACCGGGCTTCAGGGGACCCCCCGGTCTCGAAGCCGACCGGACCAGGCTCGTGCCGCGCGCCGATGATGCCCCGCAGGGTCGGCGGAGGGCTTGTCGTAGCGCCGTGGGAAAGATGTTCTTCAGGAGGGGGAGAAAAAACACACACACAATTTATCTTCGATGTCCCAGAAAATTTGGGAAGTGGGGGGGAAGACAAAAGCCCAGAAAATGTAGGATAATATGGGGAATCCTGTTATTTGTGTGTAGTTATTTGCGTGTGTCCCAGGGCCTCTTCAGTTTCTGTTGCCCCCTGGCGGCAACCAGGCATGACCAGGGGAGAAGAACCTGGTGCCACCGCCCACGTGCGTCCCCGACACCCGTGTCGGCACATCCCTCCCATGTTGCGTGGCCGCATAGGGAGCGCCCCCGAAGACTCAGGAGCGAAAGAAGGACGTACACGTACACGAATCCACGCTGGTTTCGAGAGTTCGCATTGCGCGAATGTTCGTGTCACGCGACTGATCTCGCGTTTCAAGGGACCGTGTTCATGTACATAGTTGGGCGCGTACGTCCTTTGTGGGCTCCCTAGAAGAAGAGATCCACAATTGCCGTGCGAACCACTGCGCATGGTTGGGTCCTCCGCCAGGCTAATTCGCCCTCCCTGGCGACAACAGGGGGCGCGGGGGAGGTCGGGGGTCCATGCAGACGGGGGTCAGCCAGAGTGAGGAATCTCGCAGGATACGGCAGCGCCTGGGGCGCACGGACCAGGGCCTGGGTGCAGGATCCTGCAGGATCCTGCAGGATCCTGCAAGGCCTGACTGACCTGGGTCTGGATTGACCCAGGTCAGAAGGTACCCGAGATTCGCGCCGGCGCCGTCTGGGGATGCTTCAGAGTGGTTGTGTGATGCCCAGTCGGCGCCGGCACGAGTCGTGACACTGCCAGGGGAGGAAGGAAAGTGGCACTACCTCCCAGCAGGAGGGCTAACACAAAATAGCACCAGGACATCGACGTCCACATGCCTGTCGAGGTTTGAGGCAGTCCGCATAGGTCTAAGTGTCCGGAGTGTTACTTATTTACAGCCGGAGCGCGGGATAAGAGCGAGTTAGGTTCGGTGAGGGTACCCACATGTTCTTCGTGTTTATCGGATGTTCTTGTGCATCATAGGGGAGGGTACCCTTGAATGCTCTTCCTTTTGGCCGGCGGATGGTACTATGGTTCTTGAAGGATGTTCTTCTGTCCTGGGTCCGACTGCATTCACTCTGCAATGTCAGGGGAGGGGGGCAAGAGGGGAGCGGGAGTGGGATCGATGTGAATGATGCAGAAGTCAGGAGGGGAACCAGCACACAGACACAATGGCACGTCGACTTGCCAGAGAGGGCGGGGAAATATGCGAAGACGGGGGGAGCACGAAAGGCGAGGAGAGATGGGAACGTGCGGCGCGTCCTGGGATCTGCGCGTGTATTCCTCTGTGTGTTCCTGGGCCCCCTCGAGGCGGAGCTCCGTGGCAGCGGTGGTCTCTGCAGCCGCCGGTCCCTCTGCTGCGCACGGCGCACCGCGCGCGGCGTCGGGGAGGCGCCCGGCGTCCGGCGCCCGGCGCCCGGCAGGAGGTGCAGAGGCGCTCCGTCGTGGCGGTCAACGCGGGTCTGGAGGCGGCTCGGGCCTGCCACGCGGGGTTCAAGCAGTGACAAGCGTCCCGGCTCGCCTATAGCGCCCCACCAAGCAATGTTCTAAGAACCTTTTTGTGGTTCCCACGAGATGTTCTTAGAACGTTTCTGGCTGGGACTGTCTTGGTTTAACATACCGGGTTTATGTTCTAGGAACATTGTTTTGGTTCTTAGAGCATTTTTGGGGTCTGAGAACATTTCGTGGTAGGATTATAGGAATGCCGGGACGGTCGGTCCATGTTCAATTGCGGTTTGTGTCCATATCCATTGCAGCGTGGGGTTTCGGGCTCCCTTCCCCAGAAAGACGAGGCGCACTCTGGATATGGACAAAAATCGGGTCCCTGCTAGAGGCGCGAATTTTATCCACATCCGGTGCGCCTCGGCCTTACGGCGCCCCTTCACGAAAGTCCAAGACGCCCTGGATCCTCGATATTGATGGTGTGCCATGTTATCGTTGTCACGATCGTAGCCAGCCCCACCTTAAGTTTTTGGCTCAAACGATTGAGCCGAGTGTGATGCGCGCCACCGACCCTGCTCTCGCCGCGATTGCTGGTTTCGCGGGCTCGCTGCTCGGTGGCTTCGCTGGCCACCCTCTGGCGCCGGAGGCGGCGCCTTGCGTGGTCGGGCACGAGCTTGACCACTGCCCGCCGCCGGTCTGCCCGGCAGCGGTCTGCCCTCCGGCCGCCTGCCCGGAGGTGATCGTGCCGGCCTGCCCGGCCTGCCCAGCGGCGCCAGGCGCCGGGCTGGGCTTCTGGACGCTGTGCGGGCTATCCCTTGCGGGCGCGGCGCTCCTCGTGTGGGCGGCCCGCGCGTGCTCCTGGTGGGGCAACGGCCGCTTCGCGGCCGCGGCGGAGGGCGGCGCGAGCGTCGGCCTTCCGCGAGGAGTCGCAGCCGCCTGGTCGCTGCCGGCGTCGGCGAGCGGCTCGCCTCCGCTGCCTGGCGTGCTTGCTCTTGGCGCTCCTGGCCCTTCCAGCCCTGGATCGGGACCATCTGGCGTCGAGACACCCAACGAGGGCGAGGTCTGGCGACCGAGGGCTAGTCGGAAGTGATGGCAGCTGCTGCTGCACGGGAGACAGCCTTGGATGTGGGGAACCCGCAGGTGGCGATCGACTTCCCAGACGACGCCCACTTTCGGTGGCATCACCGCTTGTTGCTGAACCGCGTGGGCGATGGTACCAAGTGGGTAGTCTCGACCCCGGACTACAACGTCGAGGTGTTGGACCTGGCCAACCACAGGGTGGTCCCACTACCTCGGGGATGTCAGGTGCCTCCACGCGTGCGGGGCGACATCTACATGTTCGGGGACCTCAGCGAGGACCAGCTTCTCTCCCTCCAGCAGCAGGGGGAAGCGTTGGCGGTGCTTATCGGCGGCGTGGCCACAGCACCGAGCCGGGGCGCCGCTGTCTGGGTGGTCTCGGACACAGGAGCGGAGGAGTTCGGGGAGCAGGTCGACCCCGCGGTGACCAGCAACCCGGCACGCTTCGTACAACGGGGGTCGACGGCGCTGGGCCTTGTCGAGGGCCGTTGGACGGCACTAGAGCGAGTGGCCCCTGTCGACCTGGAAGACTGGAAGGAAGAGAAGAGGTCCGGGGCTGGCAGAGACCCACGCGTTATGCCCATCACCCGAGACGGCCGCGACCATCGGTACATCGAGTTCCGCGACGCGATGGCTGGGCTCCAGAAGAGGACGCACGAGATCGCCGCTGGCGCGGGCTCCAGCAGCGGCACGGACAGCGACTGGCCGTTCCGTGGGCCGAGCGCGGCGGTCGAGCTGGTCTCGATCATTCGCTCGTCTGGCGAGACCGTCGCCACTTACCACGACAAGTGGGTGCGGGACTCGGGCGTGGGGCCGGATTCGGCCGTGGCTCACCACCACGCCTCGCTCCTGAGCGTCTTCCACCACACGTTGTGCTTCGACCAGCTGGAGGTCTATCGCTTGGCGGGTATGGAGATGCTCGCCAGGAGGGTGATGTACATCGAGCGCGCAACGAAGAGGTCGCCCAAGAGCCCGGACTTCAGGGGGCTCGAGATGATGATCGCGTCCACCCTCGACTCGGGGACGGCCGCGGCCACGGGCGACTTCGCCAAGTTCATCGCGGAGGAGCAGAAGTCGGAGGCGTTCACACTCAAGCAGCAGCGTTTGTTCGCGGAAGAGACGGACAGGCGCAAGAAGGATGGGAAGTCGTGAGCGAGGGGGTCCTCCTCGATTGCGACGGCCGCGGACCTGTTCGCGTGGGATGGCGGCTCCTCGTTCCCGTGCTCGTTTCCCTCTGGATCTTCCTGAGGTTGCCAATTCATCCAGTGCGGCGCCGTCGCGCGCTGACGGTCTTCTGCTTCCTGATCCGGGGCCACGGCGTCTTCAAGTCCAAGCGGCTGCGGCGCTCAACGCTCTGGGGGGGGGCTCGGGCCAGGGGCGCGCCCACGCCTGGGCCGCTTCACCACGCAACTTCGCGCCAGCCGCTCTCGGAACCGCAGCGGCAGGCGTGGAGGAGGCTGGCGACCGCCGCAGAAGCCGCCGGGCCGCAGCCTCGCCAACATGATTTGTGCCCCGACGGGGCTCTATCCGAGATTCTCAAGACGAAGGACCTCTACGAGTGCGACACCTCGCTGGCCGTGGCGCCGTACCGCCCCGAGCTCCTCGCAGTCACCAAGGGCAACATCCGCCCGCAGGATGCCGCTGGGCTCGTCGGTGACGTCGCGCGGACGTTCCTGGACGACCCTCGTCGGATCGTCCTTCCCGCCGACGCCGAGGGGCCAGAGCCTGTCCGGCCTCACTGGGACGAGAGGCTCAGGCGCTCGCCCCACCTGCTCGACGACCTGGTCGGGAAGCTGGACAGCGTGGGACTCATCACGTACCGACGTCGGGTCGCCTCGCGCGTCGGGATCTTCTTCGTGGCGAAGAAGACGGGGATGCTGCGCATGGTGCTGGACTGTCGGCCGGCTAACGTGTTGCACAGGAAGGCCCCGTACACGCGCCTGGCGACGACCGCCGCCATGTCAAGCCTCGTCCTGGACCCGCACTTCCTGGAGAAGGAGCCGGGGCATGAGCCCGAGCTGTGGGGAGCTTCGATCGACCTGCAGGACGGGTTTTACCAGTTCCTGGCGCCGACTGTTTCGCACTTCTTCGGGCTGGGCGTCTGCCGCCGGGCTGGAGACGTCGGCGTCACCGAGGTCTTTGACCCTGAGGTCAACGCGAGCGTGGCGGTGGACCCGTCCGATGAGCTCGAGGTCTGTTTCGGCGGCTTGCCAATGGGCTGGAGCTGGGCGTTGTACTTCTGCCACAGCGCCGTCTCAGAGGCTTGCCGCCGAGCTCAGGAGCGCCTTGGGCTTGGGCCTGTCGTTGTTGGCGATCGCCAACCGCCGCCGGCGCTGCGGCCTGGCGTTGCCGTCTGCGCCCCGTACGTCGACAACGCGAACGTCCTCGGGTGCGACCGCGACGCCGTGGTGCGGCTGCACGCGGAGGTGGTGGACGAGCTCGTCCGCATGGGTCTGCAGGTGCATGAGCGGGTCGACGCGACGCAGAGCTTCGAGGCAGTCGGCTTACTGTTCGACGGCGAGCGGCGCTGGGTCAGACACAGCCACAGGCGCAGCTGGCGGCTCTGGTACGCCCTGGGCGAGGCGAGCCATCGCGGGGCGCTTTCTCCCAACCGCGTTCGCTGCCTTCTGGGTCATCTCGTGCATCACTTCAGTCTGCGGCGCTGCGCTTTGTCCATCCTGGGGGCCGCCTACCGCTTCGTGGGCACCGGCGGCCACGAGGTCCGAGCGCTACCTCGCGACGTGCTGGACGAGCTGCGGATCGCCAGGGACCTCGTCCACTTCGTGCACCTCGATCTCGCCTCCCCGATGCTGGAGCGGGCCTACTGCAGCGACGCGTCCACGGAGGGCTACGCGCTGCACGTCACCACCGCCGACAAGCACCAGCTGTGGGACGTGGCCGTCTGGCGTGAGCGGTGGCGCTTCATCGACGAGGACCCAGGACCCGACGCCTCGGGTGCGGAGCTGCGAGGTGGCCTGGCTGGAGACGCTGGACAGGCCGGCGACTTCTCCGCGTGGGTCGACCGCGAGCTGCAGCCGCCCGATGACTCGACAGCCATCCTCAGGTCAGGCGACGAGCGGCAGCACCCTCGGGAACGCCCGCAGGTGGAGCGCGTCGGCCTCGTGCCGCGCGTCCCAGACGCCTTCGCCAACCCAGCTCGCTGGCAGCGCCGCGTGGTGGGGCGCTGGAAGCGCGCGGCCGCCATCCACTGCAAGGAGGCCCGGGCGGCGCTGCTGGGCCTCACCCGCGAGTCGGAGTGCGTCGACGCGCACGGGAAGCACCTCGTCTCGTTCGGCGACAACCTCGCGGAGACGCTGGCTTTCGATCGGGGCCGCGCGCGGGATCGCGAGCTCCTCGGGCTCACCCGCCGCGCAGCCGCGTGTCAGCTGGCGACTGGCATCATCTGGCATCGCCGCTACGTGGAGACCGCCAGGAACCCATCCGACGCGGACTCGAGGCTGGCGCATCACGGATGGCTTCGACCTGGAGAGCGGCTGGCCGGGAGGGCTCTCCGAGCACTCCCGCTTGCAGCCGCAGTCGGCCCCGCCTGGGAACGGGCGCCAAGCGACGCTGCCGCGGAGCTGGGCCAGACGCGCCGCCATGCCTGCCCGCAGCCGCCGCCGCCGGAGCCGGCCCGTCCGACTCGGCGGCAGCGCCGACAGGCCGCCGCCGCTCGGAGGCCGCCCGCTGGGCCAGGGAGCGACCACCTCTCGCGCGGGAGGCCGGCTTTCCTGGAGCTGTTCGCGGGCTGCATGCTCGCGTCCGCCGCCGCTGCTGAGGCTGAGCTGCGCGTGGCGACGCCTGTGGACGTGGCGCACGGGCCTCATCATGACGTGCTGGACCGTCGCGTGGCAAGCGAGGTCCTCAGCTGGCTGGCCAAGGGCTTCGTATGGTGCGTTCTGCTCGGGACCCCTTGCACCGCCTGGACGCCAGCGAGATCGACGGGTAC